AAAAATATTCATCTGTAATATTTCTAATGGAGAAACCTTCGCCTCGTCATTGTTTCCGGTGCAGGTGCTTTAAGTCCTTGCTTTTTAGGCGTAATGGTCACTAATATTGAAAGGTGGAATGAGTGGCAGCTGGCCTGACAGGTAATTGAGCTGAACATGCGCCGTTAAGGATCCAGCTAGCTGGTCATGGTCGGCAGGTCAGTGCTCTAATTACAAGGAGCTGTTTGCAAACGGACTCCGGCAGCCATGGCAACCGCATCCTCCAGGGAACGTTGGGGTGAGCTGGAGGTGCTGTATGTGGGTGCGGAGCGAAGAAGCATTGGATGCTGGAGGTGCAGGATTTGAGAGCGACGCTAGTGCCGCCATCGGGAAGGTAGTTTTCATAGCAAAGCTACAGGGCGTGATGGAGGGGTCCGCAAATGACATATTGCAAAGAAGAGACAACACAGATGGATGGTGACTGAGGGTTTAGGGAATATACAATTGCACAGGCGATGCCGCTGATTATCTCTTCTCGAGATCCAATCTTGTTAATACTGTATAAAACAGTGTCATGCGATTACAAGCAGCTTCCTCAGTAATTATGACACATACGGCCTCCACACTGGGGTTGTGTGGATAAGCCGTCATCGACATCATGAGCCTGAAAGCTCTCTGGGGAGCGAATGTATGCGAGGAAGGAGCGGAAGTGAGACGCTGCAGGGTTGGAGCTTAATGACCAGTTTAAAAAACTAAAAGAGTTCTGAGGAGGGCTTCACGTCTCCTAGAATGCCGCTGGCCGCTGTCCGTATGTAAAATGAGCTCTTATAATTGTATTCAAATCTGCAGCTCTTTACGTAGTAACATTTTATGGACTTTCAAATGCTTTTAATTGACAGGCTCACCTGGGGAAATGTAGAATTGTCCCTTGGTGAGGCTGCTTCCTGGGTAAGGCCGCCACTTTTCAACATGTCGGGTTGGATCTGTATTGGGAAATTTTGAATGTTCAGCTGCCATGATTTGTAGTGCCACATGAAAGACAAAACAGTATAATCCCTCTAAGGACATTCACTAAATATAACCAATTACTACTCTTACATATTATCTTTTATGCTGTAGGTTAACTATCTTTTCAATACCCTACACCCTTGCAAACTGTGTGACTGTGCCCAATCTTGATCATTCAAATTAACAGCCAACCTTACACCGGTTGGCTGTTAATAATGCCCCGGAGTGCACTCCGGGGCATTATAGAAGATATTTTTGGGTTCTTTATTATTTTTGTTACCCTGGTTGTTACTCTCAGCTGTGGCATTCCAAGGAGGTGGAACAGCCGCACAAAAAAAAACACAAACAGGGTTATTCACAAAAGGGTGAAGGGTTTGGAGAAGGCCGGAGAAGTGAACAATCTAGGACAATATAGCTGAACTGGAAAAAATCTCCAATTCAACTCACTTTCCAGTTCAGCTATATTGTCCTAAATTGTTCACTTCTCCGGCCTTCTCCAAACTCTTCACCCTTTAGTGAATAACCCTGAAAGTTTTTGCACATGTACTTGGTAGTTAAGCTGGTCATACACCAGCAGAATTTCATTCAAAAAAATTTGTAACATTCATTCTAGTTATTTGTAACATTCATTCTAGTTAGTGGGGTCAATTCGATGGTCGTTTTCAACTGTAGTGATGAAAAGAAAAAAAAAAAATCTAAGGAACAGGATGGAAATTCTTTCTTCAACGAACAAAATTCTAACTGAATTAGGTTTTTGTTCAGGAAACTCCATTCATTCCAAAACTGGAAGATTAAAACCCAACACATTTTTGAATGCCACTCGGCAAGTCTCTGAAGGAATTATCAAATGTTCTAAAGAGATTTTTCATATTGACATTCGTACGACAACCAGGTTTAGGCTCACCATAGATTTGAGATGGCCAGCAGAAGACCTGATAGGTGCATGATTGTTCTGTGTAAAGTTGGGTCTACATGGTTAGAATTTCAAACGAATGGAATCGGGAAGGAACGTTCATACAACTTTCTAATCGTTGATGATCAATTTCTACCGCAGTGATGAAAAAATTGGGAGGATGTTAGAAATTTTTTCTCAATCGAACGAAATTCTAACAGTGAATGTGGTTTTCATTCAACAAACTCCATTCCAAAACCAAATGTTAAATAAAAATTGTGTGGACAATGGGACATATGGAGGCAAGAGCTGAGGAGGAACGAACAAACAATCTCCAACATTGGCCCAAACTTAGGTTGACCAATTAGGATCACTATATCAGAGGGATAAGGCCACCATTGCTGCTAACGCCCCCCCTTTAGGAATCGGTCTAGTAAGGCTTGGCTGGGTCCTCTACGCTTTCCTGGGCGCTCCTCCCTTTGAGGTCCCGGGTGTGACGACAGACAGAATGTGGTTGTTGGTTCTATTCCAGCCACCTCGTAGTCCTTTACTTCGGTTCTAGTCCAGACACCTGTTTTTGTAGGTCCCCTGAAGAAGCTATCTTTGAAACGCGTCGGGACGAATCATAACCGATATGTATTTTATATCTATGCAAGTTTTGGAATTATGACTGATCAAATAGAAGCATTTAGTCTGAGACTGTGATTACTGGGCATATGTTAAGCCCAAACCTTTCGGGTAACATTTTATATTGCAATAATGGATCCCCTTTTTATAGAGCGTGTAGTATCTTATATATTCAATATGTGGATGTTCAATACATTTTCTTATATTTTTTTTTATATGCAATGGTTTTTGCCTCTCTAGAAACCCAATTTTTTTCCTACTGAATGTATACTAGGGTGAGAGGCCAATAGAAGGGGCCTATGTTAAGGGAACTCACGAGTTTTGTTTGAATGTTAAATAAAAATGAAAATCAAATGAAAGTTCAAGTGACAATCTTCAAGCCTCTGATGGTACTATTGATCGTTCTGATGGGATTTTTTGTGCGGAGGTTCATGCTAAAATCTACCCGTGTATACCCTACTTAAAGGCGAATTATGGGGAGAGTGAAATGCACTCATCCCCCTAATGAGAGCCGATGTGTTACACTGCAGCTTTCACACGTCTGCTCTACAGATTGGGAACTGAGCGATCACATACTACACAAGGTATTGGACGGGAGGACGCCAAGGGACATACCATCTCTCCAGCAGAGCACTCTTTAACAACCAGCCAGCTGTGAGGTTCGGGTGTGTGTTAATTTTTCACCCTAGGTGACGAAAAGCACTTAACCATTGCAGTGCAGGGGTAGCCCCACTGCAAGGGTTAGGAATATTTTTTCCCGAAGTTCTTTAAAGAAAACACTGCAGTAACTCACTAGAAACACATTATACTTTCCTTTCACTGAAGCAGGAGCTTGGAGAAATCAGCTGCTGGGCTGATGAAAGGTTTATACAGTATATATTTTTCCTAGAATTGTGTTGGTGGAATTGCTCAGGCGTCGAACAACTTCTAGGAAGGGGGACCTTGGGGTAAAGCCGTTCATTGACATTAAGACATTTAATACATCTGATTCCACCTACTTGCTCCGGACTTCGATGTCCCAGTGCCGCTATCCATTCTTCTTCATGAAGTCCTCATGGCTTATCTGTCAGTGACACATTGCATGCAATCCTCCCCTACAAGCAGATAAGGGCCAGAATAGTGAGACATAGCAGCACTGGACCTGGTGTTCCACGTGTATCCACATCCCACCAGATGGAGATTATCAGCCTGTCTAGGTCCTTTTATACAGAGTCCCTACACTATAGCCAAAAAATTACCATGGCAGCTACAATTAAAGGAAATCTCCACATTTATTTCCTAGAAGAACGAAAATAGATTTTGAATTTTTTTTTATACTATTTAGAAATTGACCATCTATTTTTTTATAATTTATACTAATATATTAACTTTTTAATTCTGTTTCTGCAAGTCGAGTGTTGTGGGTGACGCTAAAAATGGAGAGCCTTCGGATTTTCTTTTATGGATGCCTTTTCCCTAAAGGTTCTGTATAATGCGTCTGGCTATTAGTCAGGTTAAAGTATAATTAAAGCCTCCGTTTTTTTGTTTGCATACATCTACTGCTAGTAAGCAGTAGATATGTACAAAAAGTTGTTTTTTTAAACGCTTTGAAAAGGGTTAATACTCACCTGTGTCTTCCCCGCGCGCTCCCGTCCGAAAATCTGAATTTTCTCGGGCGGCTGCAAAGCATCTTGGGGCGGGCGCAGTTCGGATTTTCGGCCGGGAGACGAGAGACACAAGGTAAGTATATGGACGCGTGCATCCGCATGCAGACACCGTGGGACAGGAGGTGCCAGCAAGGACAGCGTAGTCGGCGCTGGATCGGAGATTCGCAGCAGCGCTGGAGAGAAGGCTGAAAACGACAGGAAAGAAGATGATCAGATTAAGAGACATCATTTAAGGTAAGTGCTTACATTATTATTGGGGGGAGGGAAAAAAAACATATACTTTAATGTCACTTTAAGGTATTCCAACTGACTATTTGTTTGGTACACCGTAAGAGACTGTTGCCTCAAAAAATCCAATAGGAGCTCCCTGCAGAAGAAGATGGGAAAAAAAGTTAACATTTTTACTCGTAACCTCATCTTTTATATTTAATTTAAAAAATGGGTAATTTGTTGTGTTTTGGGGCATTTAATTAAATTTGTCACTAAATTTTGGGGGGGGGCGGCCTTCTTCGGGACACAGGTAAGTCGCCAGAATCGCTTCTGTTGTAAAGCCGAAAGTCGGCTCTACAAGTTTAAACAGAGTCCCGGCGGCAAAAGAAGGCAAGATCAATGTTGGTTGCCTATAAACATATTTCTACGTGTCCGCTGTCAGTGTCTTCATGTTCTGGAAACATGATGGCTGGAGTGTGGTCGCCATCAGCAGCACACACTTTCTTTTCCCCTAGTTTTAAGGCCTACACTTTCTTTTCCCCTAGTTTTAAGGCCTGCAGAATGTGTGACATCTGGTGTAGGTTATGGTTTGGCTGTGATGTAGAACCTTTGCTGACTTTTGTCTTGTTGATTTTCAGCGTGTCTTTAACGTGTTGTACCCGATGCCTGCTGACCAAAGGCGACACGTCAGCATCAACTCAGCTCGCTGGTTGCCTGAGCCTGGACTGGGATTAGCGTATGGTACCAACAAGGGAGACCTGGTGATCTGCCGGCCAGAGTAAGTATAGGATGATGTCTTTCTGGCTAAACCCAGCTGTATAGAAGTGACTTCTTCCTGAAATGATGGACCATGAAAGTCTCAAGTTCTATATCCAATTTGTTAGAATCTCCTATAAACTGTGTTTCAACTTTAACCTCAGACTTTGGTTGAGAGATACAAAAAAAAAAAGTATTTTTGCTGTTGGTTTTATAAATATATATATAAATTGTATCTCGCAGTTTTAGCAAACTCCATTGCAGACTCCTCTGCTGCTTAACTGAAATGCACATATTAAAGAGGAACGTTACCCAGAGCTTTGAAATGACGACAAAGTCACTTTTAGCACTGTTTAGTAATGACAATCTACAGACACATACTTCTAGATAATGGCCAGCTTTTTATTCTTTGCATAACTTATTTTTCTTTTCCTCCCCATTCTTATCACAACGGCCATTTTTACTAAGGGCAGATTGATATTTCCTTTACTCCCTGGAACTCTGGCACATATGACCATGCACATCATCTCAGGGGAGGAAAATGCCTTTCCCTGAGATCTTGTGAGACTACAGATGAGATTTCCCAGCAATGCTCTGCTGATGTAACCTTCCCAGGATGCAACGCTTGGGCACAGATTATATCACTAATGCCCAAGAGGACCAGGAAGTGGAAAAACAATCATTGTAAGCAAAATAGGTTTGTTTAAAGGAGAACTATGAGGTGAGTGATTTTCAGGCTCGATAGGGAAGTGAGCGAACACATACCGTCGCTCGCTCACTTCTCGATCCTAGCCGTGACTGTCACTCACGGCTCCCTACAGGGATTCCCCTCCACTAACCCCCCCCCTCCTCCCCGCTCTGATCCTCCAGCACTGACTGGAGAAATGAATGTGGGAGGGGGGCGGGTGCAGCTTGCTCTGTCTCTAGATAGGCAGAGCCAGCTGTCAATCACGCAGCTGGGTGGATCTCGACAGTAATGTCGGGATCCGTCCCGGCTGCGGCGGTCTCGGTATACCACAAGCTGTAGCTCGCGATATACTGAGCTTTGGGTCTCGGGAGGATGCTAGTTTATGTCTTCCTGTGACCCTGAGGAGAGCTATGGGGAAAAACACTGACCCCCATAGTTCTCATTTAACGAATGAATGTAAGATGAGTTCTTATCAGCATGCAGAGCTGCACGCTGATGTGATTTTTAGTGACGGGGGTAAGGGTCTGCTTTAAGTCAAATCACTTCCTGTGTGCTGTAGACACTTGATCAGTTCCAGTGTTCTAATATGGAAAATCAGTAGGCCAATCGCATGAGCAGGAGTTCAGTATGCAGTAGGGATGCACCGAAATTTTAGCCCCCGAAACATATTGTCCGAAAATGGCTCTTTTTTGGCAAATGCCAAAAGTGCCATCTTTCAGCCGAAATAGTGGTGCTTCCTTGGCTTCCCTCCTTCCAGCTGGATGCTGCTCTGTGTTCCAGGAGAGAAACTGTCACAGGTGGCTGAGTGGTCCACGAGAGGAGAGAGTTGTGAGCGGCCGACGTCTCTCCCCCCCGCACTACTCAGCCTCCTGTGACAGATTGGGAGAGCGGTGGTGTGGGGCAAAGACAGCTGTCACAGGAGGCCGGCGGGCGTTGCCGGGGAGGAGTCGGCTGTCGGAGATCGAGGACTCTTCCCTGCACCACTCGCTCAGCCTCCCGTCATCACACAACAATTGTTCGGGCAGGAGAGCAATATGCTTCCATTCAGTCTTTTTGACGTTAGAAGTACTACTTAGGGGAGCATCAAATAGACGCTACACCGCTGTTGGCCCCAGATCTGTGCACCTGGCTTATGGAATTGCTGGGTTGCTACATAGCATCAGTGCAGACATGGCTTGCTGGGGCAGCTGACGTTATGTCCAGTTCATTGCAATGAGGGACTATCCATGGAAAAAAAAAAAGTAATCTGAGAGCAGGGTCTCTTTAGCACCTGCATGATCTGATGAGCAAATGATGCTTTAATTATTTGCATTGTTGGCCAGTTTTCAATATGTCTGGCAGCCCTAAAAGAGAACCAGTCACAGCTGGGCTATTTGTAAGAATCTAAATATTCAGATTTCAATGTCTATAATTGTGCGTTTTTGCTCATAAATTTGCCCTCTGACTAAAGTTCAAATTTTAATTGACTCTGACTGAATATGAGATGATGATGATGGCACTCGAAGAGATGAATCTTGTTTAAAAGATTTTCACTCCTAAATGTTTGTCTTTGACATTCAGTAGACAACAATTATAAAGCTGTCACGAACTTAAGAAAATGCTCCTAGCACAGAAATTGCCTGCTTTTCATCCTGCGTTCATCTTTCTTCTCCTTAGCTGATCACAAGGGAAATCTGCACTGCTTCTCTCTTCCAGGTTCTCCCTCTGTACTAAGCCCATGTACAGTCAGTAGTCATTGAGCCTGGCCAGTGCATCGGCTGGTTCCCCCGGGGACATCAAACCGCCACCCCGGGAGACGCACCGTACGCGCATGGCTGCTAATGAGCTGTGTGTGTGTCAGTTTAATGTTATGAAGTTTGGCGTGATTCGTTCTAAATCAGGTTTCATTTTTTTATTTTTTTTTAGCACCATTAGCTTTATCGCTTCCTGCGGTTATTGATCAGGGGATCAATATCCCTGATTAACAAGAGCCTTTCACATACATTGTTGTGTTCCCACATGCCGCTTCCACCGAAGCCTGTCGCCGAGCAGAGGAAACAGGAGCGACAAGGATGATGGCACAGTGCTCTGTTGTGTTTTTATTATTTGATAACTGATTTCCGGTCTATAGGTGTTTATTTAAAAAAGGAAGCGCCGCCTTTACAAGCGCTATTTCATTTTCGCGTAGGTACCCGTAGACTGAGTCATCCATAGGCTTCTGAGGCCGCAGTTAGATCTGTGATCTTCATGTCAACACTCCTCCGCCGAATTTGACAGCCGTCAGTGGCTGTCTGCTCCCCCCCATTCGTTTCTGCGATGAGCGGAGGTTCCCGCAGGATGTGGATTTCCCCGTGTCAGCAAACCAAAAGTGCAACCCTGTGTGGTATAATTAAAGACATACACTGGTGTTTGTAGATGGTAGAGCACCAAACCATCAGCATGAACGTAACAGATTTGGATGTAGGAGAAAGACAACCTGTCAAGAAGTTTAGACGATGACCTTTTTGTGTTCGTGTTCAAGTGTTGTCATCTAATAAAATTGTCACATCTCTGTGGGACAAATGATTGCTTTGCCTCCTTAAAGAGAACATATACTGTAGCTGCTTTGATATTTTGTATATATTCCATGTGAAACACTGTAAATGATGATGTTAATTGCATCAAAGTATTTCATGTTTTTTAAAGCCTCGATTTAAAGTATAATTTTATGAATTGTTTTTTTTTATATATTTGCTTCTTACATAAGCAAGCTCTGCTAACTGCACAGATCTACTAATCACACAGACCCCTCTAAAGCTCAACTCTGGGATAAGCATATATTGCCTACATACAAGAGTCATGTGTATTCTTACTTGACTTTTGGTGAGCTTTGTGTATTTCTTCCAGATCTGTGCAGTAATCAATCATAAAACAACTCCTGCACTTTGCCTCTGTGCATGAACTTCCTGTAATAAAGACCGGTCACTGCTACTCTCCTTGTGCAGGGTGTCTGGTCTTCACTTCTGTTTAAACAGCCCCGATGCTGGCGACTTACACTGTATGTCGTCAGTCACGAAGGGGTTAATAGACCGGTCGCTGCTGCTGCTCTCTTCTTGTGCACTGGTGACTGGCAGGGCCGGATTTACTCTCCCTGCCGCCCCAAGGCCAGGATCCACAATACGCCCCGCGCCGCCAACCCCCCTTCCCCATTCACCGGCGCCCGCAACTTCCCCACAAGGTCACCGCTGCCTCCGCTCTGCCGCCCCGAGGCGGGGCCTCGGTGGCCTTGTGGGAAATCCGGGCCTGGTAACTGGTCTCCACCCCTTCCCGTAGGTTTCTGCAGGCATCCTCTCGTGGGTGGGAATGCTGGATCCCTCCCGCAGCTCTACAGGCTATGTGCAGTACAGTGATCATGTCACTGCCACATTTACAAGGAAATAACCAGGTTTTCAAAGACATTTGATGAAAGCTGAGTTGATTCATATCCTTTGTGGCTAGTGAGGAACATATTTAAAGCTGAACTCTGGGCACAAAAACTTCTATTGAATTATATTCTTCAATAGCCAGAAAGGATATAAATCCACTTTGTGCGCAAGACCTAAAAGTAGCATTGACATCACTCAACTACATGCTCCACATAGCCAGTGCACGGAGCAGAGCGGTGGGAGGGACCAAACAGGCCCCACCCACTGCAGGCTGGCTGGAGAAATCTATAGGAGGGGCGGAGACGAGAACAGTCACCCTGCACAAGAAGAGAGAGCAGCAGTGAGCTGCCTTTATTACAGGAGGGGGCAGAGATGAGACCAGTCACCCTGCACAAGGAGAGAGAGCAGCAGTGACCTGTCTTTATTACAGGAGGGGGCGGAGACAGGACCAGTCACCCTGCACAAGGAGAGAGAGCAGCAGTGACTGGTCTGTATTACAGGAAGCTCAGCCAAAGTTTCACACTGGATTACTGCACAGATCTGAAAGAAATACACAAAGCTCGCCAAGATTCAAGGAAGAATACACACGACTTTCATATTTATACAATATTTTCTTTTCACGGAGTTCAGTTTTAAATGAGAATTTTTGTGAGCTGAGTTCAGCTTCAAATACGAACAGAGGATCAAGCCCTTGGCCTCAGCAAGTAGAAAAGTACAAACTTTATCTTATGTAATATTGGAGTTTTTTTTCCTTTTTTTAAAAAAAATATTATTTTGTAGCTTTTTCTTCACTTCTCATTTATCAGTTTCCTAGAACATTTCATAGTTACAGGTCAGAAGACGGAGGAACTGTTGTAACAGTTGCTACAAGGAGCTGACATTAAAGCATTTTTGCAGATCTCTAAATATATATAATAATCAGTGGTCATAGATGGCCCCTAAACATGTAAAATATACAGGTCACACCTGAGAGTATAAAATCCTATGAATCTATAGAGTTCTGATTATAAGATTGCTGCGTATTGAATTGGCTTGATTGAACTTTGGTTGACATTTGCAAGGATTTAGCTCGGAAAAGATAACCTTGCTTCCCCCCCGGAACAGTGCTTAATGAAATTCGCTGGGGTTTGCCATCTAATTGTATTGTGACCAGATGACGAAGACAAAGGCTTGCCAGAATCCTTCTTTATAGTCACAACAGTCATTGGCAACCGCTAGAAATATGCTTTGTTCAAAAGGATAAAGTTTGAGAAGGAGGCAGAGCCGATCAAAACAATTCATTATTGTAGGGAACATGCAGCTATTTTCAGAGCTTACGGCCGGTTTCTGCAGCGCCGCGGAAGTCACAGCATCACGCTGAAAGCCATTGTCGAGGTTGTGTGGCCGGCACAATGGAGTACAGTGTGTCTGATGCACGCACAGGGTGAATGCAGGCGTCGGTAATCTAATATCCATGTGAATATGGATTACCTGCTTGCATCTAGTATCTTGATGAAATGTGTATAGGCATTTTAAAAGGACCTGTGGATTTAGGACGGCCTTCATTTGTTTGACCGTGTCCCCTATTCAGACACCCAGTGAGACGTTCAGTATTTTATTTATTGCAAGTATTTATATAGCTCTGACAATTTATGCGGCGCTGTACAATACTTTTCATTTACATCAGCCTCTTACAGTCTAAGGTTCCTATGTCTCATGCATACTATTCATTCACATCATTGCCTGCCCTCAAGGAGCTTACATTCTAAGATTCCTATGTCTCATGCATACTATACATTTACATCAGTCTCTGCCCTCAAGGAGCTTACATTCTAAGATTCCTATGTCTCATGCATACTATACATTTACATCAGTCTCTGCCCTCAAGGAGCTTACATTCTAAGATTCCTATGTCTCATGCATACTATTCATTCACATCAGTCTCTGCCCTCAAGGAGCTTACATTCTAAGGTTCCTATGTCTCATGCATACTATTCATTCACATCATTGCCTGCCCTCAAGGAGCTTACATTCTAAGATTCCTATGTCTCATGCATACTATACATTTACATCAGTCTCTGCCCTCAAGGAGCTTACATTCTAAGATTCCTATGTCTCATGCATACTATACATTTACATCAGTCTCTGCCCACAAGGAGCTTACATTCTAAGGTTCCTATGTCTCATGCATACTATACATTTACATCAGTCTCTGCCCACAGGGAGCTTACATTCTAAGGTTCCTATGTCTCATGCATACTATACATTCACATCAGTCTCTAACCACAAGGAGCTTACATTCTAAGATTCCTATGTCTCATGCATACTATACATTTACATCAGTCTCTGCCCTCAAGGAGCTTACATTCTAAGGTTCCTATGTCTCATGCATACCATACATTCACATCAGTCCCTACCCTCAAGGACCTTACATTCTAAGGTTCCTATCTCACATGCAGTCAGTGTATTCATTTTAAACTAGAGCCAGATAAACTACCAGCATGTCTTTGGAGTGTGAGAGGAAACCCATCCAAGCACAGGGAGAACATGCAAACTCCAGGTAGTGTTCTGACCAGGATTTGAGCCAAGGACCCCAGTGCTGCCAGGCGGAAGTGCTAACCACTAAGCCACTGCACTGCCCTCAGTAGGGCACTGTGCTTTTTGTTAGCTTATGGGATAACATGCATATCCATCGTCAATCCCGTTTGTATCGCACGTGGTGATTTTGCAACTTTTTGGCACAAGAAGAAACATGATCATTTTCCAGCAAACTCCATACAAATAGTGTCCTGGCCGGGATTCCAGCTGAGGACCTCAGTGCTGCCAGGCAGAAGTGCCAACCACTGAGCCACTGTGCTTCCCTCGGTAGGGCATTGGGCTGTTCATCGTTGGCATTTGTGATGATGTAATCCCACCATTCATTCATGAAGACCATCGAGAAGCATCTGACTGTCTATGGTTGGCTGTATCAGTTTTCTTGCCCTGTTAACAGTAAAAGATAATGCCTGTATGTAAAGGATGGATGGAGAGGGAAAGGGGTAGCTAGACCTCCCTGTCAGTGTTTGGGGTTTTGTTTGCGTTGTACATTGCTGCTGGGGAGATTGACCCCCTGTGTTCATAGTCGCTCGGACAGAAAGCAATGGGAAATGCAACATTTTAGAGTTGTCACCACAGCAAGTAATAGTGGAAAATCCTTTAACTGGGAACACCTGTTCGTATCACAACTCTCCAAAATGGGAATTCTGTTTCCCTTCGGGCTCCTTCACACATCTAACGGTGACCTGCTTTGTTCCGCACCGGATCAACGAGGTCACAACTAGAACACATAGAAAACAATTGTTTTCTATGTGTCTCATTCACACCACAATGCGGGTGCAAAGGGTGCTGCGATTGAATGCAAACATGCTGCATTGTATCTCAGCGCACTGTGTGCCTCTGCAGGTCTCCGAACAGCATTGCACCACGCTGCTATGTGAGGACCTGAATGAGGTGTTCACATTGTACACTCCACATGAAGTTGAATTAAAAAAAACATGTAAATAAGTGACAGCTTCAGCAGTGTGCGATAGAACGCACACCACCGGCGCTACCACAACGCACTACGTGAACGGCCCTTGGAGAGATTTCCTTTTTCATATCCAGGGCAGGAAGTGGAGGTAAATATCCCAAGTAGGGAAACAAGTAGCAAAAAATAAACTTATAGGTGCTTCGATCCTTCCCTACTGTATCCAAAATATCAAGTTTTAGTCTTACATACACTTTACAGCAGAGCTTTACAAAATAAATAATATTCCCCTCTTTCCAGCTTTGATCGTTCTCACTTAAATACAGAAATTGTAACAGAAATTCGCTCACCGGATTTATTTCTGAACATCGTTCACTGTGATTTTCTCTTATTTTGTAGGGCATTTGACAATGTGTGTGACCAGTTTTGGGAGCAAATGAATGAGGCTATTCTACAGCATAACACTACTCGGAGCAGCGAGAGACCTGGGTGAGACACATCACTGGATGGGGCACCATTATAGAAGGCTTTAGTAACCTATATGGGATTGTAATACTTTAAGGGACCAATGAAAAGAATAAAAGGTTACATTGTATAGCAAATTAAATGAAAGAGAATGTCATCATTGTAAGGTTTGTGGAAGTGATGCATTTAATGTTAATAATCCCACTGGTGGGATATACATTACCTGAATTACAGGCAAATATCAAAGCTGATGGTCTATGTGCTTGTATTTTGCCTTTCCCTTTTTCGGTTTTATTATATGCCTTATTTCAGACCCCGCAATGTCATCACTGGGTCTGTGTGCAATGCAGGCAGACCATGGCTGGTTGGAGGGTCCGGCACGTTGCTGTGCTTCCTGAAAACAGCAAAGTAAGCTGAATTTGATTTGGTATCTGCCTCTTGCAATTCCTGTACTTCAGAGTTCGGACTGGGAGAGGATGAAGCAGCACAAGGAGCTTGTTATTTGCCCAAGTGCTCATGTGCTAACAGGGACCATGCTGTTAGTAGGAAAGGGCATTTTCGTTATAGGTAAACGTGTCATTTTTGTCAAGGTCTTTAAGTTACAAGTTAGTCTCATGCATGCCGTAGCAGCCCCTGAGGGCCGGGTACATAATAAGAATTGGTCACTTCCAGATCAAAAGTCAGCGCTCTGCAACATCCTACTTGTAGCCTGTGCGTTGGAAGGGGGCTTGGCACATCGCTGGCTTTCTTGGTAAGGAGTTGGTATTTGCTTTTGGATCTTTCTAGAGACTAGACGCAAGTGGCAGAAATATGTCCGAAAAACTGCTCACGTGCAGAAAAACGTGGATACTTGACATATTTACGTCTGTACCTCTCATCCAGGATTCCTGTTTCTCTAATATTGCAATGCATAACATTGGAGCCTTATACCCGCAGTGAATTCTCCATAAGGTAGAGTACACATGTAAATGGAATTCCAACTTGATTTTTCTCTGCCATGTTTAAGGAACACTTACAGGTCCCCCAGCTGGCCACTGAACAGTGAAAGGAGAAGCAGCATATTGATGAGCATCTTTGCTTCACTTTGCTTTCTCATTCTGTTGCCATGCTTCTTGCACTGCAACACACCTGATTGGCTCCTTGTGCTGCTTCTCCCTTCCCCAGTCTGAGCTCTGCCATACAGGGACTGCTAAAGGCTGATACCAAGTCAAACACTGGTACTAACACTGCTTGCATTTAAAAAAAATACATTGATGGATGTATTATGAAACACAGAGCTGCCTTTATTTGTGTCTTTTATATCTGCCTGGAGTTCAGCTTTAATCATTCTGGTAGTCTGTTTTATTCAGCTTAGGGCAGGATATTAAATTTGTTTTATATAAATAAATGTGAGCACATTATAAAAAGGGATCTTTTGTACTTCCATTAGAGGAATAATAGTCCTCATTTAAAATGAACCTGTTAGCAAAGGGCTCAGAGGTTACATACAGAGCTTTCAGACAGTGGCATGTTACATGTTCCCTTTGTTCTTGTAGGACCAGCCGTGCCACGTGGCGGTCAGACCGTGATTTGGGTCTGATGAATGCCATTGGACTCCAGCCACGCAATCCAAGCACATCGGTGACATCCCAGGGCACGCAGACCCCCGCCCCACAGTTGCAGAATGCGGAGACTCAGACAGAAAGGGAGGTTCCAGAGGCTCGACCTGCTGTCTCAGTCTCTGAAGGTAAGAGTTAAACTTCATCTACATCCTTAGTGAGTCACTTATCTTCTGATTACACCCTCAGGCAGCACGTTTTATATCGGCTTTCCTGCGCATCTTTTTAGTGTTGAGGATAAAAAGAAATTCACAGCCTGTTATCAAGATTAAATTTAAAAGGAACCTCAGTCTCCTAGGGTAATGAGAAAAAGGAGTTTCTTTTACCTGTAGCTTTCTGCAGTCCCCTCTTCAACTTCTGGATACTTAAATGATGCAGATGCATTTTTCTTTCTAACTTTGGTGCTATAACTCCCTTAGAAAGAAAAGCCTCCAGATAATGGTAGTTCATGGGGTGAGTGGGCAGCTTGAGCCCGGTGGCTCATAGTTACTTGCCCATTTTTGTTTCTAGCTATTTTCTGGTCTGTGATCTCTTATTTCACGGGGGTGGGCAAACTCTGGTCCCCCAGCTGTAGTTAAACTACAAATCCTAACATGCATCTGCCTCTGGGAGTCATGCCTTTGGCTGTCTGAGTCTTTCAATGCCTAATGGGTTTTGTAGTTGATCCACAACTGGAGGGTCAGAGTTTGCCTACCCCTGTCGTAGGTCCCTTTCACACAGGCTAATTAGGATGGCGGATCTGTGCACGAATTCCCTCCTGATCGGAGCAGTACGGATCGGATGTCACTGTTGTGACTTTCGTGTCTGTCCAGTTTTTCCTTCCTTCTTGCAATGAAAAAAAACTGAAATTACCGGACCACATGTGGAAGCGGATTTAAACGGAAATGTTTCCTTTTACATCAATCAGTAGAAAACGAAGATCACCAGCACTCGGATAATGATGTTCAAAATTGGGTGTTCATTTATTTAAACACATCGTCACAAATGTCACATAGCCAACATTTCGGGGCCGCACAGGGTCCCTTCATCTTGCCCTGATGCAGGGACCCAGTGCGGCCCAGAAACGTTAGCTATGTGACACCTGTAACGATGTGTTTAAATGAACACCCAATTTTGAACATCATTATCAGAGTGCTGGTGATCTTCGTTTTCTACTGATTGATATTCACGGCGCCATCCGTGATTATCACTACAAGCACCACTGTTATCACTGATCCTAGATGCTGTGTGGAGTGCGGGGGGAGGTATCATTATACTCCGTTTACATCAGATTATCCCCGAGCCAACACGTTCAGGTCCGCCCAAACAAATCTCATATCCGTTTGTTTTTCTCGGCCCGGTCGGAGTCGTGGGTAACTCGTTGTAAACGGACGCCCGTCCATTTACACATGGCTGCCGATAGACTAACATTGGGCATCCGACCGAGTCGGCTTGAAAAACTGACAGGTGGACCAGATCGGACGTGAAAGAGGCCTTAGAGCCTTGTAATACATTACTAGGAGGTAACCTGGATAGTTTTAATGTAAACTTTTGTGACTATGGGCATTCAGATATTTACATATCCTGAACAAAGCAGTGCATGAGCGTTATATGAAGCCCTAGCTGTCCTTTGCAGCTGTGGGCTCTGTGAAGTAATTCATCTTAAAAGTTTACAGCAGAAAGTACAGCAGTGTCTCAGCAGATGGCCACCCTTCTGATCTCTTTATGTGAACACAGCTGGAGGGGAGAGCACAGTGTTGGGACTTGGCTTAAACAACATCACTGTGTCTCTTGTGCATTTGAAAATGAATTGCTCCACAGTGCCTGCAGGTACAGAGGTCAGGGAAGGCTTGTCTTAAATCTTATTGATTGTTAAGAATATGTAGCCATTTGATTGTCCATCACTTGACCATAGTTCCATTTTTTAAATGATCTAATGCTACCATGAAGGAAAGGACTTAATTGACTGTTGGTTTGAAGCTGCATATAACAAGTGGATTCCATAGTGTATAATTAATCTTGGAGCGCTTTATGGCTTCATTTAGTCATCCATACATATTACATTTTGATATTTCAGCTGTTTCAGCAATGTTTGAACACATCATGGCTTAAGCTGCATTTCTCCTTTTAAGAGGGTAAATGATATACATTGGTAATATCAGTTGTGATTTTACAGCCCAGTGATAGAACAGCGTCAGCTTGCTGTGCCCTAAATTTACCTTCTTTGCAATTTGACTTGTGTCTTGATCAAGGTGCAAGTCATCTCCTGACAGTTTTCTGTAGTGTTTGTCAGAACATGCTCTTTCTTATTGTGCTTGGTAGTCTAAGCTGACTTATTTTCATCTGATCATGTAACCAATCACAAAATGACGAGCATCAGAGCAAATTCTGTCAAGCGAATATTTGATTGGAAATCCTTTTCTAAAGGAACGCATACGCTGCCAGTGGAGCTTGAAGCTTTTTGATTTCAAGCGCACACAAATGCACATAAACATACTTGTTTGGTAAGGGAGTGCAAAGCACAGTATAGCCGACAAACCCTTACCACTATAGTCTACAGTGAGATGCTGAGTGAAAGTAGAAACTGTTGAGTTTTCTGCTTTTAGTGTTAACATATTTTTTTTAATGAATCGTACCTACAGGCTCCAGTATTGAGCAGGTGGCACAGCCTGGCAGCTCCACCAGTGAGGTGGGAAATAGGGCAGAGTCACAAGAAGGGAATGTGGAGTCTTCAGAGATACCTGCATCAGGTGAGAACATACTCACTCATGTTCTGTATTCCTGAAATCATCAAGTAAGACTCACCTGCAGGATGAAAGGATTTAGACTATTTGTAGATTAGCTGGTTGTTTCTACTATACAGTCCATGTATTATTGGGGAACTTCCCAGTTTTGGATTGATCAGTCTCAAAATTTACACCAAAGATTGGCCAACCTTTCTCCCAGATTTTTCCACCAAGAAGTGACCCCTTGAGACACAAAAGTCTCAAACGCAAAAGCAAAAAAAAGTAACATTGACAGTACTGAGCTGTGCTCTTAAAGTGACACTAAACTCAGGAGTTAAATCCTAAAAATAGATTTAAGTACCTTAACTATTTACAGAAATGTATCTTATTTGTGTATCACTTGGCTGTAAATCCTCAAATCATCTCTGAATTGGTGCTGACACTGTCCTCCCTTCTGGAGGGGGGCTACTTTTATTCCCCATGGTCCCTGTGTGTGTTGTAGTCACCCCTACAAGCTCACTCCTGTAATGGACTACAATCTCATGTTTAGTTTACTCATTTGTATTGAGATTGTAGTCCATCACGGGAGCGAGCTTGGAGCGGTGACTACTTTACAACACACACAGAGACCATGGGGAACAAAAGTAGCCCCCCTCCAGAAGGAAGGACAGTGCCAGCACAATTTCAGAGATTATTTGAGGATCTACAAATAAGTTATATTTTTGTTAATAGTTAAGCTACTTGAATGTAATTTTAAGATTTAACTCCGGAATTTTGTGTCACTTTAATCTGTAAAAGTTTCCAGTCTGATTATTTTATCCCCTGCTGGAGACAATTCCAATTAGCGGATTGGTCTGTAGATGAATGGGATCCTACTTAGGCTATAGAATGTCCTAGCCTTGGCACATGGACGTATTATGATATTGTTTGGACCTTTCAGATTAGTTTTTTTTTAAAAATGAAGTATTTTCACTTTCAATAAGTTTTTTTTTTATTAAACATTTTAAAGAACAAGATACAAATGGCTTACATGTTTGGATACACATTTGACAAACATAGTATAAACATCCTAGATACATTATACAACCAATCACATAGTTCATAGGATATAGGTCCCAACACATCTTAATTGAGTACAAGGTATTTTGAAATAAAAACAGTTGGGTGAACTTGAAAAACAAAAGCAAGGAAATAAAGCTCACCAATTTATGACAAAAGTTCAATAAAAAGATGGAACAAGCAGGAGAGAGGGAGCAAGAAAAAGAGGAAGACAGAAGTGAGTAGCAAGAAAAAGACCAAAGTAGCCAAGAGGGACACCAGAGAACTCCGTGGGAAGGAGGTATAAGGGTCAGTGGTTACAAGGAAGTAAAACTCTCAGAAGGAGAGAGGCAGGGACATATTGTATCCATGGCAACCAAACTTTTAGAAATGTGTTTCGAGTGTCCAAAAGGATACTAGAAAGTTTTATATTTAGTAAAAAGAACATCTACGTGATGTCTCACCGCCACAAACTGTATTAGCTGTTTCTTCAAGGTTCCAACTTGAATTGAGAGTTGTTGAGGAAGTTAGGTTCGAAGTGTAGGAGCGCGAGCCAAGAGTCTCTCCTAAAGGGGATGTGAAAAAAAGAATTTGTAGGAGTTTTGAATGTCTTGGGACTAGAATCTACTCAGCATAGGGCATGACCACCCTATAGGCAGCGTATCCGGTGGGGTAAAATTGCAGTGTTTTATGGCGGCCAACTAAGTTGTCTTTCATAGTTCTGACTGCTCTAAATTGAAGACATGTGGTTAAGAAGGAAAAAAGAAAAGAAAAAAAGTATTTTGGCGGTGGAAACATTAAAGTATGTCTATCCAAAATAAAATTTAGTTTCGGCTTTAGAGTAGGAAAGGGGTGAACTCTCGAGGACATTGTGTCCTGTAGACACAATAGTAAGTGAGCAAAAATCCCTTGAATGTAAGTGCATATGACAGTTGTCACAGGAACAAGTGTCTCTATTAAAAGAGTTCCCCTCCATTCCTTTTCTAATGACAAAGCAAAAAATGACAGTGGTCTCCTGGACAAATAGAATGAATCTCCCTTACGGGGATACAGACCATTTAAAAACCTGTTAAGGTTTAAACCCATCACCACTCTATCCAAGCATCAATTCAGAGATGATTTGAGGATCTACAGCCAAGTCATACACAAATAAGATACATTTTTATTAATAGTTAATGTAACTATGTATTTTTAAAGTGACATTAAACTCAGGAGTTACATTTTAAAGTGACACTGAAATCAGGAGTTAATTCTTAAAAATGCATTTAAGTTCCTTAACTATAAAAAAATACTGGTCCTTATTTGTGTATCAATCATCTGTAGATCTCAGATCATCTCTGAATTGGTGCTGAGTTGGGGAGGGGGGCTGCTTTTTTCCCTATGGTCCCTGTGTGTGTTGTAAAGTAGTCACCGCTCCAAGCTCGCTCCTGTGATGGACTACAATCTCATGTTTAGTTAACTAATTAGTATTGAGATTGTAGTCATTCACGGGAGTGAGCATGGAGCGGTGACTACTTTACAACACACACAGGAACCATGGGGAACAAAAGTATTCCCCCTCCAGAAGGAAGGACAGTGTCAGAATCAATTCAGAGATGATTTGAGGATCTACAGCCGACTGATACACAAATAAGATACATTTTTTGCTAATAGTTAAAACTTAAAAATACATTTAAGTACCTTTTTTACTTCTGAGTTTAATGTGAAAAATTAAGTTTTTAATTGAACGTAGCTTACAGAAGCCTGCCAGCTTCTTGTTTAAGGTGACAGCCTGTGTTCACCTCCAAAATGGACCTGATGGTTGCCGAAAGCTTTGCAAATGTTAGAAGGTTGCCGTCCAACAAATTAAAGCCCATGTGTACTCGTGTATGTCCTGCCCAATTCTTTTTCTCTAGTTTTGGATACAGCGGGAAAGGATTAGAACTCCTGTCAGGTTTATAATGCTATCTGGGGCTCCATTAGAGAGCTTTAACCTCACTATCTGTCCTTCATAAAACTCTGACAGGAGCTCTAGCCTTCTTCTAATGTCTTTCTGTCATTCTTCTACTTCTGTCTGTGTTGCTGTTGAAGAGATCACCTTTTATCCCATCTGGTAAAAAGTCAGCAGGATGGGAATCGAGAGGAAATCTCTGGGTGCTTCGGATAGTAGTAACAATCTGAGAGTGGTTCTAACCCTTCACCACTCTTATCTACAACTAAGGAATAAGATTTGGCCGGACGTAGACTTTTATTGTACAGAGCTATCTTAATTTAGGAACTGTCACATTATGGTTTGTTTTATCACTTGTCCTGGGTGGGTTCCTTCCCCAAACGTGCTGCCTTTTATAGCTGACCTCTTATACCGGACCTGTTTATGCTTCTCTCTCTATTATACCGCAGTCCTTCGCTTCCCTCATACTCTGCCCCTTCATGTCCGACAGGCGAGGGACAGGAGGACGCTCTGAGCAGAATCCAGCGACTTATGGCAGAAGGAGGGATGACCGCAGTGGTCCAGAGGGAGCAGAGCACAACAATGGCATCGATGGGGGGATTCGGCAACAACATCATCGTGAGCCACCGAATCCACCGCAGCTCCCAGACGGCAACGGACACCGCCTCGCGCACCTCCGCCTCGCGCACCTCCGCCTCGCACTCTGCACAGCCCTCCACGTCTAGAGAGACCGTAGCAGAGCTGGAAAGGCGCCTATCTCCACTTCAGCCAAGCCGTTCCCTACTGCCAGAGCCAGTGCCGTTGACCAATAACGACGGCGACCTTAACGCGTGGCCTCCGAACAGTGGCAGCTTTCCGGGCGTGGAGAGGTAGAAACGCAGAGCCGCCAAACTGGTACTGCTGTAAGGACAGATCACCCCCTCCCCCCCCACCTCCTGTTCACGGTGGGGGGGGCTTTCGAGCTGTGGATTATGGTGCTATACACTTTCAGTGAAATTTTATTTGATAGCTGACCTTCTCCACCAGTGTGTGGAGGGAAGGTGCAGAGAAGTGTAAAATCGCAGCTGACCTTTATCACACTGCCCCCCCTCTCTTCCCATTCTACTTTGTATAGCAAAGAGACACCCCCAGATCGCCCTTTAAGAAAGGGTTTGAGGCTTATACTCTTCCCTCGGCTCCCTTGAAGGTGAACCTGAAGAAGAGTTTTATCCATTAGAATCCTCCTTCCCATTAGTATTTTTTTTTTTGTTGTTGTAGTTTTCAAAGCTATATATTGGTCATGGCGGGGGAAACTAGCACTAACCTTCCCCCTGTCAAGTGCAAGGAGCTGCTATAAGACTGTTACTGCCCTTGCTTTGACTGAAGTTCAAGGAGGGATGCATGCACTACAGGGAAGGGTGAGGCCTATAAAGCCGCCTCTCCTCCATGCCAGGCTTGCGTGTCCTGGTGCTCCGCACCTCCATTTTAGACGCAGCGATGCACGCTGGCGACCAGTTGTCTCCACCACATGCACCCAGAGTGGCATCTGTTTTCAGTAAAGACGTAGTCATTCTCCTGCAGTGGTCACAAGCCCATAATCAGCCCCATTTACTACAGTGGTTTGCCCAGTTGCCAAACCGTTTCCGAAAAATGCTGCGGTTACAGTTTTCAGATGTGCTTTTGTTTTGTTTCTTTAACCCTCTTTTGCAGTTGTGACCTGTGCTTCTTCTTTTGCAGGTCTGAACCAATGTTTTTTTCTTTTTCTGCCCTTTTCGTAAATGTGTGTGTCTGATTCTGATGGATAACCCTAACCTTCCCCCCTCCTTGCATTGTGTGAGTATGTCACCCCAGGTCCTTGCCCATAGGCCAGTTAACCCTTACCTTGCCAGACCAGTCAGAAGCTTACCAGAGAGACCCACATGGCAGCATGTTGGCAGCTGCCCCAGTTAAAACAGTTGCTCCTCTTACCGATGACATTGGGGGGGGGGCACGCACTCATCCAGACATGCACACCCACTAACGCACACAGCACGGTGTCTTGCGCACCATAGTAGATGTTGGCAGTATTAACCACAAATGTTACAGAAGGGGCTGGTTTTTTGTTTTTTTTAATGAAACCTCTTGCATGTTAACTACATAAAGCAGATTGTTTTTTTTAATTGAGCACAGGGAGAGCCGCTGATGTGAATCCCGAAATTTCCAGCTGCGCCGCCTTGAACTCATCACCCCGCCTGCAGTAACCCACCAGGATGATACAGGGGGCTCTGGTGAGCGGCTGCGTACTGGCAGTAAGGATGCACAAACTGAGGTAGTTGCTGGACTGGGCTGTCCTTTTTTTTTTTTTTCCTCGTCACCCCCCAATAACCACCAATGCCTGTATTAATACTGCAGAGCATTGCTCCAGTAATGGCTTTATTGCTAGTGTCTATCGTAGAGCCTTGCTTTTTAACCCCTGCTGTACCATTAATCTCAGCGGCTGAGCATTGCTCCAGTGTATTATGTAGCAGTGAGTACTGGAAGATTTTTCACTTGACTATATTTTACCCTTTTCCTCCCATCATTCAAACCTGCAGAGCATCACACCAGTGCCCTGCTGTGACATTATAAGACTTGCAGAGCATTGTTCCAGTAAACCGTAATGCTTGGTTGGTTTGCTCTTATGTGTAACTTTTTTTGTTGTTTTTGTTGGTTTTTTTTTTTTCTTCAAGGTGCTGTGCAAAAAGCATCATTCCAATAACGCATTGTGACCTTTTAGGGCATGACTCAATTCATGTAACAATTGTTGATTCTGCAGAGCATTGCGCCAGTAAAACCCTGTGACACCAGCTAAGATTCACTGTCTTGTTTGATTTCTGTTTTGAACACCGGAACATTCCACTAAGGTTTTTGCGGGGTGCACCGAGAGCTACCAATATATGCCCTCTGCAAAAATATGTACAGCATTACCTTCATAAGAACCTGTTCACTAGGGACCTGCATCAACAGCATCATTTCTGACATCAGTTTTAGAGGCTGAGATCATTCAGAATTCATTGACCGGTGCAGTGGATGTGCGTTTGACCTGTTTCAAGCAGGGTTTGCATCCCCATAGACCTTTAGGAGCATGCAAAACCTGTTTGAAGTGAATAAATCCCATCAACACAGACCCTTATTTCCATCAGAAATAAAATATAAGGAGTTATTTAGTATGTGAGATGAATGGGTAGGGTCTTGCAGCACAACAGTTTAACTCAGAGAATACTGCACGTCATGGGGAATGTGTTTTATTTTACATGCATGTAATGTTCTCTGTGGGGTTAAAGTAAATCTTTAAGTATCTTTACAAGTCTGTTGGAGCACATTCCTGACATATCAAGAAATATGCAACAAGAATATATCTGAACCTTTAACTCTCTTTGAGGGCTTCTTCACACCGAATGTGGTGTGTCCTGGAGCGGTAGCTGCTGGAACGCACCGCAATCGCTCACACAACTTCCACCTGCGTTCTGGGGCGGGAGGGGGCGTGGCGGTGCATTGAATACAATGGCACTGCTTCCATGCCCCCCACCCGCAGTGCGATCGGTTCGCGTGTCAAAACATTGCCTGCGTTCCCTTCCACTGCAAACACAAAAAGTGCTGCTTGCTCTATTTTTTGTGTTTGCAGTGGAACGGAAAGCAGGCAATGTTTTTGCTACGCGTTCAATCACACTGCGGGGGGGCGTGAAAGCACTGACAGTGAGTTCAATGCACCACCAAGCCCCCTCCCACCCTAGAACGCAGGGGGAAGTTGCGTGAGCGATTGCGGTGCATTACAGCAGCTACCGCTCTGGAACGCACCGCAATTGGTGTGAAGAAGCCCTGAGAAGCAGTCCTTCAGCTCCAATAAAGTGATTTTTAATAGGCTGAAATTATATCAGTCTGCTGCAGACAGGAAGGAACTACTTCCTCAGTCTTCTCTCCCCTATTGATCAATCTGCAACATGGTAACTTTGTATCAAGTCACAAGGCGAGAGGCTGACGCAGGGGTTGATCTGTGTCAGACAGTTGTGGACTTGATTAACGCCCGAATTTACATGATTGTATCATCTCTGAGAAAGGATCTCAGTCCAGGATGTAGGTGCTGATGCTGAATGATGCCTGAACAAAGATGGCCCCTGTTTGAAGAGAACAACAGATGAAGGTATTCTCAAGGAAAGTATTGTGATCTCAGTAAGAGGTAATCAAAACCTGTACGTGTTAAATTTACACATTACCATGCATGCCATTAAGATGAAAAATATATCTGATGCTAGCTTCACTTTAATAAATCTAGATACAGTCACTATAGAGATCAATTGCCTCTATGGTGGACACAGTTGTGCATTGCTGCTGTGAGCCGGTCACCAGTTTGTGGACACCACTTTAAATGATAGAATTTTCATTGGAAGGTACTGCTACTGCATACAAAAGCATTTTCGACTCTTGCGCGCTTCCAACAGTTTGAAGAAGGTCCTTTCTGTTCCAGCATGACTATGCCACTGTGCACAAGGCAAGTTCCATGAAGATCTGGTTTGACCAGACTCGTGTGGAGGAGCCTAAATTGCCTGCACAGAGCCCTGACGTCAACGTTATTAACATGGAATGCCAATGACAAGCCAGGTCTTCTCATCCACCGTCCATAAATGCTCTTCGTGCTGAATAGGTGAACATTCCTACTCGCAAATCTTGGCTTCCAAGAAGAGTGGAAGGTGTCATAGTCGCAAAGTAGGAAGTGGGGGGCAAACTTCATACTTAAACCCATGATTATTGGAATGGGATGTCCAACAAGCTCATATAGTTGTGTGATGACAAGTGTCCACAACCTTATGGCTGAGTACAGCTAATGTTGAGTCACTCCCATCACTCGTCGCACGTTTTATAAAATGATATATAATTGGCTGTCAGGCTAGGTAGCCCCTTCATCAAGGATCCTGTTTCCTGCTCATAGGGTTGTGGAAAGAAGGTTTGGGCCTTGTCTCTCATATTGGCCCGCTGGTCTTTTCTTTGCACTTCTATGTTGTCCAAACTGTCCTCTAGGGATTTGTTTTTTCCTGAGTCTTTTTTTTGTTTTTTCTCCACCTATATTTTGGTGGATTTCTGGTGGACCCTCTAATTTCACTGGCAGGGTCCCAGTGCTCCAGAGTTTGCCCTTGGCCGTGGTTTTCTTGTTCAGCAGGTTGATCCTCTGTCCTTCCATTGGTTGTGGCAGAGGGCTTCTCTCCATCTATCTTTGATTCGGGAGTTGATTCCTCAGGATACGTCAGACATGCGATGGTCTCCTCCATCTGTGTTTTCTCTGACTTTGTGTACTGCTTTATCACAAAACTAAGGCATGCTGGGTAGAGGAGGGGTTATATAGGGGTTGGCTTGCAATTTTCCTGTTTGCCAGTGTCCCAACCTCCTGTAGGCAGCAGTACAACCCAACTGTAATAGAATTTCTGTGTCCCTCAATGGACATCAAGAAAAAGATTTTACGGTAAGTATGTAGTCTGCCATTGCTGACCTCCTCCTGAAAATGTCCATTAAGCAGGCAGGTGACACTGTAAGCTGCAAAACTTCAATAGGGAATAGTGTTGTTAGTGCTTGCTTTGGCTTTTAGCTGGGGATGCCCAAATGACCAGAGTGGCTTAAACTTCATACACAGATCATAAATGTATGTCGGAGCTGTTTACTTGTCAAATTGTTTTAGTCCATCCGGTGTCACATAACCCAAACCTGGCTGGCGGGACGGGGGACCTGATTTTTTTTCTTTTTGAGGTTTAATATTACAATTAGGTCTTGTTATTCCCCCATCCTGTGACTGGCAGTGAACGGAGACGCAGCGGACTGATGAGCTCATCTTTCATAACAGCTTGGCTCCTTGTGTTGCTTTACTCTCCTCCAGTCTGAACACTGCTGGTCAGATTGGAAGAAGGTCTGAGGACTGCTGAGCTCTGATGTACAGGGGCTGCAATAGGCCAGGGCTCAAAAAGTGGAAATTCAGTCAGGCCTTAGGTGGGGCAACTGGTGGCAAATAACTCTTAAGGCCTGGCTAGTAGCTCAGGACTTGAAATTTTGAGCCCTGCAATAGGCTAATACCAGGTCACATTCAGCTCCTTACACTGCTTGTATTTAAGAAAATACATTTAACGATGTGTTATTGAATACGGAGCTGCATTAGTTTGAGTCCTTTATATCTGCCTGGAGGTTAGATTTACCAAAATAACAAATGTGTCACAGGTAAGGAAGTCTGTGTATTTAACTGTTTAGCTGCCGTTCTGCTTGAATCCCTTATTTGTCAAGTCTGCCCCTGATACCATTACCCAGCCGCAGTCTCCAGCAGTAAAGAGGTTACCGACAGCCGAAGGACACTGCTCCCCATACACCGGAGCTTCTTCTGAACTGTCAATGTTGCAACACGACCAGTTCTATTGTTTTAATTGGCTTCTGTTTCCCGCCTTAGATAGAGTTATTCACAGCATCTCTGGCCCACATGACACCAGCTTGTTGCTGGCCTGTTGAGCTTCGGTAATTGGTCTCCGCTGAGACATCTGGCAGAATGAGGGCGCCGGAGACAGACTGCTGTAACCCTTGTCACAGCAACTCATCTGCTTTGTGTTTGGCCGATGGTTTACAAGATAACCCTCCCAATTGTGATTTCTTTTGCCAGTTGCCATCATGCCAACCCCACTGCGGGTGGCCGAAACGCTGCCTGATCTTTGTGAGCTGTGCACCCCGTAGGAGCATCCCTTAGGAGGATTGGGCCATGATGGGCTTCTCTACATTGCCATAGCGAGTGCTTCTGCCTGGTGTCAATGCTTACCATGGCATGCAGAGGTTTTCTAATATGTTGGCAAGCGAACGGCAATTACCAAATAACCATGCAAAT